CAGAAATCCTTAACTGTCCGCCAAAAATTCTAGTCATATTTGCTCTCGATAATTTTCTTCTTTTGACGTCGCCAATTTTAGAAATCCCGTATGCGTCCACCAACAATTAAAAGTCGCGCTAAATTTCAGCGGACAACAACTAAGACTCAGTTTCTTGACTCTATTAAAGTCGAAGTTGATAAATCTCGAGAAATGCACACAGGTTATAAACAGCAGCGATACAGCATTTCGCTTGTTTGTGGATGCATACCGTGATTCCCGTCTTGAAGTTCGAAACAGGCATAAACGAGCTTTGGATGTACTGCTGCTGACTTTGCGCCCAAATGTATAAAAGCTCGAAAATCGAGTGCGAATTTCGCTGATTACACCTAATGGTGTTCAAATCGTAAAACAATGAGTAAAGAAGTACTTTTCTGACAAGGCTTTTCTTTGTGACGCAAACACTAGGCGAGCGTAAGCTTTGGATGGATTGCTACTTGCTTTTTTCTAAATAGGACAAATTTTGCCAATCAACAAAATTACAATGCACGATTTCCAGATTATACCTTATTATAAGCGGCTTTGCCTCCTTCGCTGACCCCATAGCAGTATGTTTTGGCGCGAAGAGGTGCAGCAAGACTAAAAAACATAAGTGTAATAGATAGAAGAAAATCTCAATGCTTTGTAGAGTAGCGCATACGTAACACATTGACTTGCTTTTGCCTTCGTGCCCTGACACTTCCCAACAACTTCTTCATCAAATAGTTTCTTGTATTTGTTGATGCAGTCTTCGGATCCAAGCGAACAGTAGGCCTCAATTACTCTCTGCTCAAGAATGCTGAAAAAGAAAACTGTTCAGGCATTACATGACCGATGTTTTCTGATGTAAATGATGCCAAAAAAAGATCTCAATGTTTACTTTTCTGGTTGGAACTTTTATTACACAAATGCAAAACAAACTTTGGCTATTTTTCCAAATTCTGCAACTCCAAAGATTGCGGAGGATTTTAAGCTTTATAGAATGGTTTAGCAATCACTAACTTTAACTAAAACATTAGCTAGAATAGACTCAACTCTTAAATTTTTGAACAGATTATGCTGTTGACCCAAATTCAGATATTCTAAGTGTTTAGTACTCATATATACGAGTTCAATCGATAACGACGCTTTATGAAAATTTTTTACTCTACTTCTAAAACGGCGGCTG